TGGAGACGCATCGTATGAAATCCTCTGACCTGCCTTGAAATGATATTGTGGGACACTGTTCTGTGTCCCACAACACAACAGATGGTTTGTGGTTGTCCGCAGCCACAGAGTGGAGATGGTCGTTTACCCCATTTGTGTATCATGTAACCGCATCTGCCGTGTTGGGTTCTGATTGGGTTCAGCATAGTCCACGTTTTGCGTGGTAAGTCAAAACCTAGTGGTTTTTGTGTGATGCAGTATATATATATATATATATATATATATATATATATATATATATATATATATATATTAAGGGATTTTACAGTTCAAATCCACAAGGATAAAAACAATTTCAACAGCTTCAGCATTGAACGACGATATACGGTTTATGCTAGTGCCTTCTGGCTAAAGAAAGACCTGAGTTGGGGATTCCATTTTAGGGTCTTAGTTAGGTTTATTTCTTATTTATATTGAATCTGTGTTTCAAATGATTAGCCTCTGCAAAATTGAAAGTTATTTATCTCAACTTCCAAGGCATAACTCCATAAAACAAATTGCCCAATTTATTATATGATATTCGAACTTTGCTTCTTGTTCTTTGGTAAATACTGGTATCCTTTCCATACAGTCAGTTACAGCCGGAATGATAAAATTTCTAGCGACTACACGTATTTTGGCACCTGTATTAATTGCAGCTATAGCATACCAGGGCGGATCAGTTTTGAGGTGGATGTGAGAGGGAAAGTTTTTTGAAAACGATAACATTATCGAAGATACGTCGAAGACACCATTTGAATGATGAGTCACAATCTCCTAGTGTCCTCACTTGGTAGTGAGTGTTAATTACGATTGCAATAGATGATTTTCATGAAGTTCATCAAATGCCGCAATAGAGATTCTAACGGAGTTAACACCATCACGACTTAATTCTTCAAAGAGTGTAGAATGTTCCCCTGTGTTCTTTGCTTTGATTGATAGGATGAACCCATTAGTTGTGCTAATCCATTATTATTTAATAAACTGTTATAAGTCAACCAAGCAACTGATTGACCGGTAAAAATCCGGTGAGTCTGCAAGCACCTGCTACCAATAAAATATCGGCCGATTTTATACTAGTCGTATATGTGTACAAATAGGGTTAGTGTTAAATAAATCTATTACTTAATGAAATTAATAATATTGGCGTGTCATGATTTTTTTAAATACGAATTACATAAGGAATTTATTTTTCATGTGACTTTTGGTCTACACTGTATATTATTTGCAGCGACCTCTGTATAGCAGGATGTTCCACTATTATGGTAGGTAATTAAAAACATAGCACACTACCACCTAGCAATGAAACTTCCGTGTTGACGAGTAAAACAATGATTGGCGCATCACCTAGTGACCGGGCGCCTAACTATAAATATATGGCGCGAAATTCAAAAGTTTAGTAATATTACTTAGGATTGTGAACTCATTTTAAAGTAAAGGAAAATCGATATAATCCTAAAATAACAAGAAAAATCCTTATCTTATACGATAATAAATATTTTTCGTATACTTTTTATGTTTTCTTGTTATGTTGAGACTATATTTATTTTACATTACATTAAAATGCCAAAGTGGTTAAAAAAATTAAAGAATAAAATATAGAATAAAATCTTTATTTATAAAAATATTACAAGAAATGTTATATGTGTTACAAAAAATGTTAATAATACAAGCCAAGTGTGTTACAAGAAATATTAATAATACAAGCCAAGTGTACTATAATTTAGTTTTCTTAATGTTGTGGCAAGAACTGGTCAGTATTTAAATAATTGTTTTGTCTTAGTATGTCAAGTTTTATGTAAATAGAAGCCTAATTCTGCAAAAGGCCTTTTACTACAATTTTATTCTCATAATTCGCAGAGAATTCAAACAGTGGTATAGAACATTCAAGATTTTTTTAGAAGGCAATGAATCTAAAGATAAATCCCTAGAAAGATAAGCATGCTTGTAATAAATTTAGTCTATAATTACATAAGCGAAGCAATCAATGGGGAAAACCAATTGCTTTTTTCACACATACTCTCACACATTCAGAATGAAAACATGCAAATGCGTTGAAGTATTAAAAAAATGCAGGTATTATCTGGTAGGACAGCAATTCAAACCAATCACAGATTAAATCACTATTTTGTTTATATAGAATGCTGGCATATATAAAATCTGACAAGGAGAACTAGCTTTACTTCACAAGAATTTATTAATTATCTACACTCTAAAGGAATATTTCAAGTAGAACAACACCATATAACCATGAAGGAAATGGTTAAGTTGAAAGATACAATGAGTTATATAGAAATTGGTGAATCTAGCATTGAAAACCAAATATTTAGACATAACTAAATGAAAAACTTCTTTACCAGGAGCTCTGTACTATATAAGAAGTTTACTATTGCATTGTTATATTATTGAATCACACTAATGATGAAGATGAAGTCCAAATAACACCTTAGAGAATTCCACTACTAAATCAATGCCAGATGTGACAGAAAATTTACCTGTTCAAAAACCTGATGATAATTATGAACCAAGATTGGAAAATTCAGATTTTCAATCTAGCTGTAAATCAGCTGGAGCTAAAAATAAACCAAGATAGTTGCAATATTTTGTTCACAAATAGGGACGGGTAAATGTAGTATAATTTAGTGTTCTTAATGTTTTGACAAGAACTTGTCAGTAATTAAATAATTCTTTTGGAATTCTAATGTCAAATTAAAGCCTAATAAGCAACATATAGCCGTCAGACATTCTGAGTTCTTTGTAGTACTTACATCCTAATTTAATAACACACACTACCAGCGGCCAGTAGGAACTCTTACTGTCTGGCATTCTACTCCCAGAAAAGACAGAACTCAAGATCTCTACTAAGTTGGAAACAGAAAAATTAAATGATTTAGTTCTAGAAAGAACTTTATATACATTTATATGATAATATTTTAGTCATATTAAAACCTATAAACCCAACAGTTAGCTCTAAGATTCTAAGATCCAGCAGTATAAAGATGGAAAAATAACATTAAAAATAAAAAAATATGTAAAGTATTACCTAGTTACAATAAAAACATGAAGTATTTTACAAAGTTATGTTTCCAAACTCTATGTTACCAGTAACTCTTTTCTACTAATATTTATATAATTATTGAGAGACATATTAAATACATTTAGATTTAGGTTGTTCTACAAAATGGAACATTAAAAGTAAGTACATAGATGAGACAAACCATGGTAATATGGTACTCTAAGACCAATCTCACTTACAAGAGAGAGACAGATTCCTCCTCGCACTTAACAGGCAAGCTCATAGACCTCTTCAATATGATAGTGTAGTCATGGTCTGCTAATCTAATCCAACTTTGAAAGGCGCACACCTGTAGAAATTATGTCGAACCCTCTCTAAGGTGATGATTGTTAAGATAGTTGTTGAACCACCACCTACAAAATAATTAAAATAGTAAGCAAGTAAGACTGATTTTATAATATATAATTTTAGGTTAAATTTATAATTAACCAATTTTATAAGTAAAAGGTCACATACATACATATATTGGCATAATAGTTCTTACCTGGTGCTGGTAAAAACAAACTCAGAAGGGCTGTTCTCGTAATAGCGGTGTGTCCAACATTAATTATATCATCCTCTTTAAAATGACTAGCGCATACACGAAAATTGTTATAAATAGTTTCTGTTGCAGCATTCTCTAATTAGGGCTTTTAACAGCATTCACCCATTTATCAAACATATCTAATGCTGGACTTCTTCAATATTGGTGCAATGAACATAACCTCGTTGATATGTTTGATGATGTTAAATGTAAGCTTAATATACGTCAGTGTTGCCATATACTCAAATATTTCCCACTCTCACATAAAATTATTGGCAAGATTTATATTATATGAAATGAAAATGTAAAATTGAAAAATACATATATAATTAAACAAAAATATGAAAAATATATATATTTTTACCTATACATAGGTATATAATTCATTAAAATTATACCTATAAATATTATAAAATAAAATTATATCTTGCATTTCTACATTTAAAAATACTTATATAATAAAAACCATTAAAATTATGCTTAAAAATTAATAGTTTAGAAACTTTATAAATTACAGAATAAAGTAAAGTTAAATGAAAAAAAAATTAGGTTAAACAAAAGTTTTTAGCTATATTTAAAATAAAAAATACTATTTTATGAATGCTTTTTAATATGAATTCAAAAATTGTGGCTGTGGCGTGTACATTTTTACATTTTACAGAAGTAAAACACTTCACATTTACCTAAGTATATACCTAAATACAAATGTGAAGCATTTTACTTCTGTATAAGTTTTTTAAAGCATATATAATTTCGTCAAAGTATCTTTCTATTTTAAACACTCCTATACTTTATACAAAAAAAAGTGGCAACACTGTGTCACACAAACATATAGCTGGATGCCAGGTTATGTTCATTGCACCAATATTGAAGAAGTCCCTAATGCTTGCCTAGTATCCATGCAATTTGGAATACATCTTTTTTGTTCAGTTCTTCGTCTCTACATTGTTATTCCATGTAATGTGTTCGATTCCATAATAAAAAATCGTCTAAAATTTTACCTTTTTGCACTACTTATATAAAAAAATTTAAACTATAAAATAAATTATAAAAATAAAACAAATACAAATATGGCGCCGTATTTGTCTAAATTCAACTTTTGATTTGACCACAGCACACTCCCTCCGCGTAGAAAATAGACTAGCAGCGCCACCATACGAATGGGCGTATGGGCGCCTAACTCCGAACGTGATTTGACATTGCCTATCCCTGTTACCAATCTAGGTATAATTTTATCTATGATTAAAAATACTACTAGGGCAGAAAGAAAATTACAAATACACACATTATATTTTTACCACTACATAAAAGGTGTCGCTGCTGCAGATTCTTTTTCATTACCTACCTACAATTACATTTATTATGTAAACAAAAAAGAAGAAGCGAGGTTATAAAAATTAGAAAAAAAGAGGAAAAGTAAATTAGGTTAGGTTATAACTGAAGAAAGACTTTAAATATTTATATAATAAAATTTACATTATGTGGAAAGCCGCAATTTCGACAGTGACTAGTACACTAAAAACACAAAGTACACTACTGACAGCCACTGATTTAGTGTATCAACAAGCTAGAGTAAGTAAAATAAGTCATAAGTCAGCACTTTCTTAATTTTTGTTTACTTTTAGACGACTTATGTTTTAAAAAGAAAATATCCCGTGTTACTAAATAAGAAAGGACATCCCAAAAAGCCATTAAGGAGTAAACATTATGTATATGAAGTTGTGAGAAATACTCACCATGAGCCTCAGTCCAATATTGAAGTTGTTCTGACTTCTGTTGTAGAAGGTTTAGGAAATGTAGGTGATAAAGTATCACTAAAAGTGAATAAAGCGTACAATAATTTATTATTAACTGGTTTAGCTGTGTATCCAACCCCAGAAAATGAGGCAAAATATAAAAGTGCTGGGCAAAGTAAAGATTTACTGAAGTACAGTTCGCCTTCAGCAGCGAATGTAAGTAATAAATTATTTATGTCATATGGTCGACATTATATGGAAACAAGAATTGATTACCTGTTTAAGCATTTAGATAAATATTGCCTTATTGTTAAGACTTAATTTGGTTTCTATTAAACAGTAAACTTTTATGTTTCCTTAATTCATCTGTATGATCTTTTAGACTGTCCAATCACTTTCCAGAATGATGTTATCAGTTGTTATGAATAAAGAAACACCATGGACAATAAAACCTTGGCATATCAAAGCGTCATTTAGAAAATGTGGATATTTTGTACCAGAAGAAGCAATAACAATTCCTGGGACACCAATTTCTGGACCAAACATGGATTTAGAAGGCAAAGAATTTGCAGTGACTGTAACTGTAAGTAGTTCAAGTTTATTGTTAAAATAATCACTACAATTAAAGCATACATTTACAGTGAGTATTGAAACATTTAGGTGAATATGTGAATCAAACCAGCGCAACTTTACTGATAATCTTGTTATAATTATTACCTAGATATCAATCATGAGCTGATTGAAGACATTATAAATATATCACAGAAAAACATAAAAATTACATTAATTGGGTATTTATAACTTTATTTGTATTTATAAATTCGTCATTTATATTTCCAGATCAATAAACAAGAAAAAGTTAATGTGCGTTGCAGGCTTCATCATTGGAGTACTGAAGTTGCATCACGATTGCCATATGTTCCTGAATTCTGGAAAATCCCAACAGAATCAATTTTACCAGAACAAGCATCCCTCTTAGAAACAATGCCTAAGAAGAAAACTATGATAAAAAAACAATAAATGTAAATAAATATAAGATCCTTAAAAAAGCTCTAATTATTTATTGTTATTTATTCATTCCAACGGTAGAACCATTTACAATAAAATACAACAAATAGTAAAGAGTAAAGATCATGTACAATAAACATCAAAACAATAACAAAGAAACAAGTAAACAGTTAAAATTTGTATATTAAAACAATATATCATATCACAAAAATTTTAAAAAAGTATAAGTATCACATAGTAAGTATCACATATCTAGATTAATAGTCAGATTCTTAAGTTGCCTTTTAAAAGCATTAATGTTTGGGCAGAAAGGATCCAATAGGAGGTCATTGCAAGAGCTGAGCATTCTTGACAAGGGAAAATGACGAGCATAATTAGTCCTATGAAAAGGAATATAAAAGAGTGCAGTGTGTCTAGTTCTATGCATTGTGTTTAAGTGTACATTGGCCAATAACGAGGGACAATTATTAATAACATTGTTTAGAATTTTAAACAAAAATAACATATCAGCTCTCAACCTGCGGTTCTTCAATGTAGCAATGTTAAAATGAGACATTATTATAGAATAATATATGAAATAATTTTCAGTATTTTTTATATTAATATGGGCTTTAAGAGCTAAAGATTATTTCTAGAAAAATGAAAAAGTACAAATATATCCTCAATATCGACCTCTGCACAGAATAATGTAACTAACATTTTTGGCGATTTTGAGTCGATGTCACTCTAACTGCATTTATAAGAAAGATTCTCAATGGAATCTATATAAAAAATATTTGAATTATTTATAGAATAACTGCATAACTCATTAGAGAGTATATAATAACTGCATATAGTAATGAGAGTCTCATTACTATACTTTGTTTTCAAGTTAAGAAAATAACATTACACTTATGGAGATCAGTGTTGCCAAAACTCTCAGGCACTATCTTTTGCACGGATGTCCAAGACATTCCTTTGGCTTAATTTTTGAATTTCCATTTTCAATTAACATTTAACATTTTTCCTACTTTTCATCTCTTGTTTCAAATGGGCACTTTTGGTCAATTACGTTAAAAAACATTAATTTAATTCATGTCTGTGGAAACAAAAATACAAATTATACAACCCTGAATCGTGCTTGTGTTTGTCGTGGCATCGCCGCGCTTCTATCGTCCATAAGACATACATGACCCTATCTCCGCAATGTTATTTTCTTAACGTGGAATGCTCTATAGACTTAGGCAAACATAGAAAATGCATATATTGCATATTTTATCCAAATATCGGGATTTTGCATATTTGTGCAAAAAAATTTATATATGTCAATTTATTTTAAATTGCGGATTTTAAATAATATTTATCTATCCATAGATAATTGTTTCCATAATTCTAAGGAATAGTATTTTACTACTTTCATTACAATTACCTACTTAGTTTTTAAATATATTTATGTTTTATTCTAATTATTAAAATAAACATTAATTAATATACCATTATTAAAGATATGTTTCCATTGAAACATATAAAAGGTTAGTCATTGAAACATTAGAAAATGAATATTTTTGGCTAAATTAGTGCATATTGTTTACTTTTTTGCATAAGTCTATGTCTACTCATTACCTTAAAACACAACAAAATTATATTTTGAAGAAATACTAAATATTTATAAACTTTTGATTTGTGTACAGAGTAGATGCAAAAAGAAACTATCTCCTCTACTGCAACATTAAGACAGTACCGTGAAATATTCAATAAGGAATTTAATATTGAGTTTATTAAAACCAAAACAATGTCTTCTATTATGTGTACCGAAATGCAGGTGTAGATGAAAGACAAAGATGTATCTGAAGTACTCTAACCACATTGCTAATAAGACTACAAAAGCCTAAATGGCATTTTAATATCTTCCGAATACTTTCTCCTTCATACAGCAACCTAAATTTTACGCAGACAGATTTATGGAAATGGATATTTTACACTACTTTTAGTATGAAGGTGTAAATGGTAAGTATATTATAACAATAAAACAAGTTCATATTTTATAAAAATGAATTTAATCCTATAAATGATGAACATTAGACATTAGACAACTTTAATTAACTTAAATATTGCTTTTTTAGTTTAATTTAATATTTTTTAAGACTTTTTATTTTTATCAGAAACTGTGTATTTGTCATAACTTTTTGTTGGATCATAAGGCTCCCATCTACTGGCTGGAAAAATATGCTTGTTCCTTTCATACCAGCTCCTTAACAGCACTTTACCAGCATGAGAATCTTCTTTTTCTATCGACGCATCACTGAGTAACCTAATGTCATCGTGTACATCGAACTGAAAGAGGGGCCCGCTTTTGCCTCGTGCCTAAAAATTAAAAATACATTGTTCAGAAATAACAACGCATCATGCGACTTCGGTCCGATAAGTACTTGACCTCAAGCCAGATGGCGCCAGTATAGCAAAAGAAATTGATTGCCGTACACTACCGTACATGGTTGAGAATCAAATTTGTAGGCAGTTGATTCTCAGAAATGTGATTGCGATAAAGCGACGACATCGTTGCCAGTTTGTGATGATTGATATTCTAGCAATTTATATTTTAATCATTTACATGCAACAAAATTATTATCGGCTAATGATCGTTTTGTATTCATTAAGGTATCTAATAAAATGTATTTAATAACATCAATATTTATGTATAATGCTATATTTATATACAATATTTATATATAGAAAACATCTAAAAGTATGATAATATTCTGTACGCTTCAAGCTTGTCGACGACTTTAATTTAAAAATCTTGCCACACCCTTGAGATACTATGAACTTGATTCAGCCAAGTTTTATCTAAATAGTACACTTTTCGCCCTTCACAAAGATACTCTCGGATTTTTGTAAGTAATGTCTCTACTACAAGATTTCATCTTTTTCTATAACAACACTGTTCCTGCTTCTTCTCATATATTTAGTGTTGGGATTCTTTAAGGTTGGGATTTTGTTCCAAAATGCGTGGAATTTCCTCCAAATAGCATATTTGGTGTCATCTTCAATCTGAATGCGCTTTCTACCCCGGGTTTCAATGTTTTCAAGAGACACATTATCCGATTTGCCTTCACTTTGTTTAAAAATTTTTAGAATTCTGTATAGGTACAGTTCTCGTCGACACTTTAGTCAAATCACTACACAGAGTAACTACATAGTTGACCAACATACTTTTATTCCTTTCTCTGAGTCCACAATACATGTTGTACATAGTTTTTTCTTCCATCGAAAAATTTGGGTATTGCTTACTTTGACTGCTTTCGCCTTCCATATTGCTCGCATTTTATCTCTAGTACAAGGAATGTTTTTCCTAAGCAATTCTAATATTAGAGATAAAATTCATGACATCAAAACTTGCGACGACATGAAGAAGGGTACTATTTCGAATTATTGGGCCAACTTGCAGAAATAACGGCCCCATTTGGCGAAAAAAGTACTTGCTCGCTAAGTCAAGTGTATCGATCTAAAAGATTATGTTGAGAAATAAATCTTCGCTTTCTCAAATTTTTGTTTTTTTTTGTAGGTTAAGTACTTATTGGACTATCATCGTAAATGTTTGGTAAACTTACTTTTGTTACTATAAAATCGTAGAATGTATAATGATGAGGCAATATTAGATCCTCTTTTACATACATTAGTTGATCTGCCATGACTGTTTTTAATTCGGAAAATTCTCTTCTTAATACTTCAAGAACTTTTTGTAAAAATTGATAGATGGAATTTCCTAAAATAAATAAAGTTAATATTTCTAAAATATGCATTTATAATTTTACATTTTCTTTTGGAAGCAGTAGGACCTCTTTCCGATTGAAAATCATTATAAAAAAAATTATAAAAGTAGTTACGAAAAATTACTGTATTCTAACCAGATATTTATACCAGATAATTGGGATAAGTTATGGAATAAGGATTCCTTCTTTTGGATGTCTAGTCAGTGTCACACAAGGAGCTCAAAACACTTGGACACAATTATTCATTTACTTTAGAACACAGATTTAAGTTAATCTAAAATGAATTTAAGTTCTTATTACTTTTGTAACATATACATGGGATCTTTTTGTGAAGAATGTAGTAAAACTCATAAAAAAGATCATCCAAAGTTGAACCTAATGTTGGTCTGCTTTAAGTGCTTTCCAAGTTCTTAAGCATATGAAAATCATGTAAAATGCTGGTTCAAAATAAAGACCTAACAAACCTTTACATTGAACTAATCAGTGTCATGTCATTAAGCATGGTGACCATGCTATTATTGACACATCACATATAAATGATTCTGTATTACCTTTCTTTACTCGAACTGTTCTTCTATGTCCTGATCCATCCCAATAGCTGAAAGTTATATCAATTTCTTCTTCTTTTAATTTTTCTTGCTGTTCAGCCCATTCTTGTCTTAGTTCTTCTCTTAGTTTATTTTCTTCCTCCTCCCTTTCTCTGTCTGGTAAAAAGCTAGTATCTACATTTGGGTTCTTTCTCACCTAAAAAAAGTTATATTAAAACCAATGAAAAGAGCAACTTAAAAAAGCAAACAATTGTGTTAATTTTTTTAAGAACAAAGTAAAATGTCTTACAACTTATATCTAAATCTATAAATATAAATAAATTACTGCAATGAAAAATATCTTATGAGGAAAAATTAGTATAAAATGGTGGACTATCTATTGGAGGTTTTTGAGAAAAGCAAATGAAATTAGTTAACTGATATAGCACAGGATCTGTTCAAAATTAGGACAATATAATGTATGTAAAATTAATTCAAAAATTACCTTCTTTAAATTTGATGAATCTATTTCTTCTTTAGGTCTTTTAAAATTGCTTGTTTGTACTATGACTTGTTCCTGCTCATTTTCATCATCATCATCATTACTTTCTTCTCCTTCTTCATCTTCAAGGTTGAAAGACAATGCTTGAATCTAGAAGCAATACTTAAAACTTTTTATTTTAAACTGCAATTTCAATCAAGAAAACAAAATACTACAAATTTATAGTATATTTAACAACCTCCGCAAAGGTAATCTAGAATTTTCATAATAAAACTTGAACTAGTGTAGAACAAATATTATTTTATCAAAGAAAATTAAAAAGTACAAATAATACAACTGTAACAGATGAAAAAATAAAATAAGTTGTTGATAATACAGAACCTATTTTGTAGTTGATAATTAATTTTTCTAAAATGCCGTACATTCAAAGACTTACATCAGTTCTGTATTATTGTACGTAAAATTTAGGGTTTCATAATGTTGTTTATTTTTAGCTAATTAGGACCTTGTATTTAAGTATATTCAAAACAAAACAAATTACAAATTATAAGTTTAATGCATTTATTTCTTAGATATAGAAATGAAACATAAACAAAAAAATGTGCCTCAACAATTTGCTTTAGTAAAATATTACTTGATAAATCTTTACTGCTCACGAAATAGTTAAAATGTCTATTTTTACTGTTAAAAACTAAATTACTAAATAACAATAAAAAATATTGAAATATTGTAATTACATACCTGTTTCTTCTGCTTATTTTTCTCGGCTTGTTTCGCTTCCATTTGTCTTTGTTTTTCCCTTTCTTTCTCAGCTTGTTTTTGAGCCAACTTCTTTTCCCTTTCTTTAACAATATTCTCTTGCTTTGCTTTCATTTCATCAAGGGTAACTAAACCTATGGTGGAGCTCTAGAAGACACAAAGTTAATGCTTTTATTTTTAAAATCAACCGAAACTTACTTTGAGCTGCTGTTCAACGGCATCGTAGTGTGTAGCAAATTTATTTTCAATGTTGTTAAGTTTTAGATCCTCCTCAATTCTTTTTTTCCTGAGTTCTAAGTCTTGCATTTCCTTTTCACGTTTTTTCATCAGCTGCATGGCTCTACCAGCTTCGCTGGCTGCTCCTTTGTAATGAGCCATCGTATTAACAGTAAAGTACAACAATTACGTATGAATTAAAATGATAATCAATTTTACTTTACTTATTTTCAGTTTGTTACAAAAGCTGAACTATTCATATATAAACAATTGAAATCAAAACATAGCACAGCACCATAGTACATACCCCCCTAGTAAGGTAACTCCCATATAAAGTTTTGGAAGAGAGTTTCTAGCGCCAAATACGGACGGGCCGAAACTAATTTCATTTGGCGGCAAATTCAAAACGTAAATTCAGAATTTTAGGCGGCAAATTCAAAAAATATGCTCTGAATTTTAGGCGCCAAAATTCAAAAAGTATGTTTTTAATGGAAAGTAAATATAGTCATAAAATAAGAAATAAAAACTTATTCTATGCCAGAAAATATATCCTCTCTGTCCAAAAGTATAGTGTACACCTACACATTTTTATATATATAAATGTATAACATAATATCTGATACAGAGAGAGTATATATTATGGTACAAGAAAGTTTTTATTTAATATTTTATGATTATATCTGTTTTCCATTACATTAACAAACCAAAGTCTCAAAAATTACAAAATAAAACACAAACATCCTGACACTTGTTTATTTGTATAATTTTCTTTGGTAAAGTATTGGCAACATATCCTCCTCCTCCTCCTTACTTAACCCTAGAAAGGTGGACTCTCGTAAATTTGACGACGCTCCTCGGTTTTCGTCGCAGTTCGGGTGCAGTCGCGTAACCTCTGCCCATACACTTCTCAGTAGCTGTTTCTTTAGTCTTGATTTAACAGGCGGTGAGTGTGTTTCTCCACTACTGTATTTATGTATTAGATTTTTTGAGGGCACGTCGTCAATTTTACGAAAGTCCACCTTCTACGTTAGTTTTTTTTTCTCAAGTTTATTTGGACGCCAGTGACGTTTTTGGTAAGTCATTATCTAATTCTTTTTTATATTTGTAGTAAATATTATTTTATTTAATTGTAGCACTATGTCATCACGAAAACCTTTAACGGCAAGTGAAATAAACGATGAAATACAGCGTATAATGAATGGTGAAGATAGTGAGCAGGAACCTTTTGAAGATAGTGGAAGTGACTGGGCGTTAGAAGAAGATGCTTTGGATTTTGAATCGGACGATTCAGATGAAGAAGATGACTCTAAAAATAGTGGTAATTCCAAAATTTTCCAGCCATCCAGTGTATCCAGTTCATCTGTAAATTTAATGGATGCAGATATAAAAGCAATAGTGGTGGAAAGCGAAAAATCTACAGAAGAAGTACCTGGAACATCAGGTGAGAACTCCACTGTTTCTCAGTTTATTGTAAATCCGGGAAAGGCTCTAAAGGGTAAAAACGGGCATAAGTGGTCAAACAAAAACCTTCATTGTCAAAAAGAACGGCAGCTAGAAATATTATTCATTTTATAGCTGGTCCCAAAGGAAATGCCAAAAACTACACAAAAGTTGAAGAATATTTCTTACATTTTTTTTATAGGATATATTATGTCGTACTCTGTTACACTCAAATACTGAAATTACAAGACAATCTAAAAAATATGCCAGTCGTCCTAATATTTCTGACATGAGTAAAAATGAGCTACAAGCTTTATTGGCAATTTTGATAATGTCTGCAGCAAATAAAGACAGTCCTCTATCTGTGAAGTATATGTTTGATAGTAATATATCAGGAAAATTTTTATCAGGCTTGCATGAGTGGTCAGCGTTTCAAATATCTCATAAACTGTCTTAGGTTTAATAAAAAGGAAACACGTAAAGAAAGGCAGCAAGATATTGCAGAGTTTGCGCATATACGCGAAATATGGGACATTTTTATTACCAGCTGCAGAGAATCATATACACCTTCATCCTATCTGACTATTGATGAACAGTTAGTAGGATTTCGAGGACGTTGCCCTTTTCGAATGTATTTACCTGATAAACCTAATTCGTATGGTCTCAAAATCGTAATGATGTGTGACAGCTCTTCGAATTATATGATCGATGCTATTCCTTATTTAGACAAGAAAACCAATACAAATGGTTTGCCGTTGGGTACATATTTTGTCAACGAACTTACAAAATCAGTTCATGGTAGTAACAGAAATATTACCATGGACAACTGGTTTAGATCAGTTAGCTTAGCAGAGGAGTTAGTGAAAGATCAGTATAAACTGACAATTATCGGAACTCTTTGCAAAAATAAAAGGGAAATTCCACACGAATTGTTCAATGTAAAGAACAGAGTCTCCAATACATCTAGGTTTTGTTTTGATAAAAGAAAGACATTGGTATCATATATGCCAAAGAAAAATAAGGTAGTTTTACTTCTTTCAACACGTCACGAAGGTGCTGATGTTTCCAAAATAAATGGCAAACCCACTATAATAACTGTATATAATGGAACAAAAGACGGAGTGGATACAAAGAGCAAATAGAAAAGTTTTATCCAGATACGAATATATGGTTGAATTGGCTCGTCATCTCGCCGAACCCTGGCTGAGAGAACGATTGTGTATTCTAACTTTACATCGAAATCTTAAGCAAAATATTAAAGATGTCCTCAAAATTTCCGAAGAAGTTGAAGGTCCGTTACCTGAAAAAAAGAAACGCAAGGCATTTTTCCATTGTCCGAGTAAAAAGAGGCACATGACTACCACATATTGCAACCAATGCCATAACGCTATATGTGACGAACACCGAGGTAATATATGTACAATGTGTGCAAACGAGTAGTGCACATCGACTTTATTTATATGTGTACCACTTACTAAGACTTACATTTTTTCTAATTTTTTGTAATAAAAGTTTTTATAATTACATTTGTATTTTTTTTTCAATTTTTTGTTAGATGTCGTAAAAATTACGATAGTCCACCATAACTGTCAGTAAATAATAGTCCACCTTTCTAGGGTTAAGCCCTTGTTAAGGTGTGGGTGGAGACACTCTAAATATTGTTAACTTGCTGTCTCCATTGGCTGCAATTCTGTACCAGATGAACAACTTCGTGAAGGGATTTTTCCACCAATCTTCATTTAATCTTCCCATCATGTTGTGAGATCGTCATTTTGATATACAAATATAGATACCTCTATATTTATTAGCAATGGTTTGTAGTAAGTTCCATACCTTCTAAAATACTTTTCCTTAAAGTACCATATGTAGATAATAAAGTGTAAACCCTAGCATGTCTGCGATCTTGCTCTTCACAATGATTGGCATGTGACTCAATGTAACTGTTACTCAGAAGTAGAAGATCCATGAAAATCTAAAATAATGAAATATTATTAAAATTAAGAATGTATTGACTTTTTTTATAAAATAAGGCAATGTTTAGGAATGCAGTGATAAGAGTTAAGAGTTTTAATGAGTTTAAAATCTATACAGTATATAAATATAAGATTAATGTTAGTTAAGATTGAAAGGTAAATTAACTACAAAAACAAAATAGTATCAAGTTTGTATTTACTAAAAGTTTGGTATAATTAGATGCTGTTCTTACCTGGTGCTTGTAAAAATAAACTCCTAATCCTCAGAATGTTTAATAGCCGTTTGTCCAATAACTTTCACCCATCAACAAAAAATATTCTTTGGAAATACTATACCATTTTGGTAATGTACCTTCTTCTTTAGCAGGTCTATTAGATATATAAAATTTGATGTATACTGTTTTTATCGTCTATTTCTAAAATTTGGGATACGACTATTGTAAACAGTGTGGTGTAGAATTCTTTATTTTCCTCATAATAAATGTCAACCATTATGAAAACAAGTCCATTTCATCATTTCATTTTTTGGGTTTGGAAAACGAAATCGACTGTTTGTGTAGTCGGTGTAACCATGAACATAACATTTTTTTACCTTTTATTCTATTTTGTTCCATTTCAACGATGGTAAAACACAATTTTTACAATTAAGATGATAATAACCAAAACCAAACACAAATCTGAATTTGCAATATGGCGTCCCAAGTCCCAATCTAAATTAAATTTCGCCACAGCACATGCGTCTCCACCTCCCACCTAACGTGACTAGTAGCGCCGCCGCCATTAAGAACGGATGGGCCCATGCAAAACACTATCCCCTCCCGTCCTATTCTACTTACACTACTAAGGGGTATGTATTGTGGCACAGCACTAGCAGACGAAGTCGAAGACTAATGTCAATGTCAATATGATGTCAATCGATGTCATTTGTCACCTAACTTCAACTTTTGAAGTAGTGTTGTTCGGTGGACTTCGTAGTGGTACAAATAAAGGTCGATTCAGACACATCAGTCACGTCTCGTCACCATCTTGTCACAGTGATTGCGCCATCGAGCAATAAGACAAAAGAGGGAATCTAATCCTTATGAAAAGGAGACCAAAAAAGTGGCCTCTGATGGCGGACATATCCGGAAATGCGAATGCGCCAAATTTAAATTTTCCGACACTTATCAACAGTAGCTATATATACCATTTTTCAAAGTAAAACACTTGCACGTCACGATTTATACAAAGTGACGTCACTTGTATTTAAAATTTCCAGAACATCAACCTTATAGTTCAAATTTTCCTAACACAGCTAATAATACGAAACCCATACGGAACTGCTCGATCTTTCATAGGCGTCAACATGATGTAATAATCAGAAAAATATAATCATCATTATATTGTAAATTTTAGAATTATATTGATTAAATAACCAAATACATTTATTATTATTAATAATATAAATTTTATGAAATAACTCTTGAAGTCTAATATTCCACAAAATAATATTTTTTAATTAAATATATTAGACAATTGTACGCAACTGATACGGAAATATATCAAATAATATTGACAGTTCAGCGGATGGTAAAAGTGTATTAAATGTTGCCGCTTTTTTAGAGTAGAAAATTTGTTTATGTTTTGACGTCTTACTCAATTTAATCATAATATAATAAATATTAATAAATTGTATTTATAAATGCATTTTAAATTTAGATTAATAGCTTTAAAAACTAATTATTGTTGTGTATTGTGATTGTGATATGCCAAAACAAATAAAAGTCTGTAGAAAGCTGATAAGCTTTCATATAAGATAGATTATTATGAACAAAAAATAATGGCGGGACTTTTTTGTTATTAAAGCCCTAAAAGAGGTAAGTTTAAAATTTAGAATATATAATTTTGTATTAAAATGGTTTCTTATGTATTTTAAAGTGTTGCAGTAGTGTTAAAACTAAGAGTATTTACTGTTAATATAATAGTTTGACAAATATTTGATATTTTAAAAATTCCTCACTTACTAACTATTCTGATGTTTTGGCAACGCTGTGGGGTTCTGAAGACGTAAATCTTGAATGACGTGCAAGCTTTTTTATCTGAAAAATACTATAATATTTTTCAGAATGTGTCTTAGACGAGAAAGATATGTACCTATATTCTTTTAAAATATATATTATGTCAAATAAATGAAACCTGCCTATATATTTTTATCAGGTGTGAGATGGAATGTACATAAGTAGGTTATAGGTATATTTAAAAGTTAATATAGAAGGGATTGTGCCTTTAATACATTGTATAATAAAAACAGTTAAAAGCATGGCAATCCAATATATTAATAAAGTTCTTTGTATTCTGTATTGGATCCAATAACTAAATAATATACCTGGTGTTCCATCTAAAATAATAAAGTTGGCACCAGTATTTACATGACATCACACTCTGTATAACTCATTTTTATTGGAAACATATAAGCAACAAAAAATATTAAAAAAACAGAGCTTTTCGAGGAACTATTCACCATTTAATAAATAGATAAACCTCACTGACACCAAAGAATATAGAACACGTGAATAACCACCTTTGACGAGACTAAAAATGACAGTAAAATTAAAATGACACTAGTGACAGTGGTGAATGAAGCGAAGAGTGAAATCGAAATGTGAAATCGCCGTCGCTGGTGAGGCGAGTGGTGATTGTTTTGTGGTGAAATCAAGTTTAATAAAATGGAACTAATGGAAGTAAAACAGGAGGAATGTAATAATGAGGAGACGTTTAAAGCGGAAATAGAGTATAATGATTTAGATAATGCTCTTTTAGGCGGATTTAAACGTGAGATTAAGGAGGAATCCAATGGACAAAGTACACATTATGGTACTTATGATAATTTAGACTTAAATGACTATACTACTAAAACTGAAATGCACCAAGATATAAATAAACTGAACCAATTTGAAGAAAACCAAAAAACTGAAAAAGGTAAGTTAACAGTATAAGTAACAAGTAGTATTTTTAAATGTAATTTACTGAATACAGAAATTGGAGAAACTTAACACAAAATTAAATTACTATTAAGTACACACATACACTGAAAAAAAAGCTGCTGTAGATTTGTGAATGATACCTGAATCACTTAAAAAATGCACACAAAAAATGTTTGGCAAAGTATGTTTCCAATACAAAATAAAAAGCTCATTTGTCAAACCTATCTGTTAACTTTACTTACCCTGCTGGAGTATGCAAATATTGAGAAACTAAAAGCCATGTATGAAGACTGATAACTTATTAAGTGATGATCAGTGGGCCTCAAACAGTGGCTTTAAAAATTAATAATTCCAATCCCTTGATATGTAAATTATTTAATTTTCTATATTTTATGTTCACTAAGAATGTTGGATTTTGTTTTATTAAAGGTAAATTAACTGAATATAATAATAGGTATATATCGCACACTTAGAACAACACTGCACTAAGTCCAAATAGCACATTTTTCAGAATTGACAAAAAACTGATATTTCATGTTATATCACAGTAATTAGCAAGGTTCCAAACATTTCATGAATCTTCTACTTCATGTACCATGTCCTTTCAGAACGTTGGTTACCATCATAGCTATTTTAATTTTATTCACTGCCACTCTAAATAGCATGCTTGTATCTACACCATACCAATCTCGCAAGTTCTTCAACCATGAGGTTCTTCTTCGTCCTGGACTGCGTTTGCCTGCTATTTTTCCTTGCATGATATTTTGTAGCAATCTATATTTGGGACCTCTGCTTTTTATGATCTCAGTAGTCTTGCTGAGACATTCAAGTATTGTGGAGTTACGAATCTTCTCCACCCAGGAAACTTTTAAAATTCTTCTATAGCACCACATTTCGAAAGCCTCGAGGCGATTTAGATCGATTTTATTCACAGTCCAGGACTCGACAGCATAAAGTAAGACCGAGAACACGTAGCAGCGAAGTAGGCGGATCCTTAATGCCAATTTTAGGTCTCTGTTACATAACACCTTGGACATCCTTCTAAAAGCAGCTCTAGCCTGAATTCTATTTCATGAATGCATTGTGTATATACAGTAGACTCCCTCTATATCGAGAACTGAAATTGCAAACTAATTACCTCGTTATAAGCGGATCTCGTTATATCCAACAACAATAATACTGTGCATTCATATGAATATGTAGTTTTCTAAAACATTAACTTTCTATAGTTAAGCCATTCGGAGTAATATAAGATGCCAATAAATATTGTTTGAATAGCGTTTTTGAAAAAAAATTGTTTACTTTTATTGTCAATGAAATACATTAAAACAAAAAAAGAGTTGTTTACTTTTATTGCAAATGATATACATTAAAACAAAAAATCTATATTCTGTAAATCTGTATAAAGCATATTTTCAAGAATAACATAAACTACTGCGTCTGCAATTGGAAGAAGTCTATCATTTTTGACTGCTTTAAATTGTCCAGTATTCTATCTATCATATTTTCTAAAGATGTGAAACAGTTTTATGCTTCTTCATTTGCGTTTTTTCTTTGGGTAAAGTTTCTGGCAACCTTTAAAACACTTTCCACATCTTGCCTATTAGGACCTATATTATTAGGTGTGAATGGTCAACCCCCTATAATGACACTTGTGAATCATAAATTGTAAACTTCCAACTAAGAATCATAAATTGTAAGAAGTTTATTGCGGGCGGCAGTTAAAAAAGGTATTTATTTATAGCTATGCCCGAGCCAAAACATACAAAACATGTTTTTCAATCTTATTTTCTCTCGTTATAAGCAACTCTATCTAACTATAGAGGGTTATAGTTCAATAGAAATTTCACGGGACATCTAATGTAACTCGTTATAAGCGAAAACTCGTAATAACCGTGTTCGTTATAGAGGGAGTATATTGTAGTATTCTATAGTTAGTTAGGAAAAAACAAATAAATAAAAAAAAATGCAACTGTTTTTTAGTTAATTCACTATTACGGAATGACTTCACTAAATAAAAAAATAATTATTTCGATTTGCGTGCCTATTACTGATTGATTTTAAAATAATTCAATGTTGTTTTACTGTTGGTTGATGGAGATTTAATTTACAATAACGACATATTCGTTTATTTTTTACACATTTACAGTAAAATAAAATACCAAAACATACTAAATTAACAACTTGTATTTTTTCCATAGGGTTACATTAAACAAACAAAAAATGTCTTCTTTGAGTGCCTCTCCTGTCAGAGATTGGATATCATTAGGGCGATTCTATTTTTTTTAAGACCAAATAATAAAATAAGAAACACACAAGTCATTTTTTTCAGTTTTAACTAGTTCTAGACAATAACATAACAAAATACTCATACTGAGTACCTATTATGTATTCAAAATATATAATTATCTATTATTATTATTTACCAGTAATTACTAATTAAGCAAATTTAAACTACTGGTATATTCACTATCTAAAAGTAAATAATATTTTTTTCATAAAAGTAACTGTTATAAAAATGAAAAAAGTTTCTTATACAACTAATGCCATAGGAACTTGAGTTTCGGTTTTTAGTTGGCATAAACTATTCTATTGCAGTCTTATAAAAAGGAGTTATCATAAGTAGGGGGTATTATATTTTTTTCAATTAGCTCTTTAATATCTTTTTTTATTTTCGCCTAAAGACAGCTTTTGAGGATATGCTTTAATTAACATTGGAGAAAAATCTTGGTCTTTGAACCACCTTGAACGATTTAATATACAGACTTTATTAAAGTCAGTATCTTCATACAATGTTTTGTAGAAGAAAGCTAGAGGATGCTGCTTTTCAATGCCGCTATGTTTAATGTCATGCCATTTGACTTGATTATGCCCTCATCTGTATTGAAATTATTGCCCCAAGGTTCTTGAAGAAGCTCGTAAAAATCTTCAAATGTTAACTCTTTTACCAGATAAAGTGTTCCTGTTTTTTCGGCAGTGCGAATTAATGTAGCATATTGCTGTGGGCAATAAATAGAGCCAGACCTTAAATATCTATCAATTAATATTGTTCTTATTTTAATTTACTAAAACACGATAATTTATATCAATTTATTAAACCACTGTACGACAATTTATTTGACTAATAATTACATAATTTATCTATACATGCGTTACATTTTAAAACGCGATCATGATCTTTTGACTGCCTGTTTTCTCCAAAAAGTCCCGTTATATACCAATACCGATAGACTAGAAAAGTCGATCGCCTTCTCGTCTGGTATAGAGTTTCTCTAAGCCCGTGTATGTTGACCTGGTGAAAATACTAGAAGGTTACGGGCTGGTTTCTTCATTCAATCTTTTTTCCTGACCGTTCGAATGGACCGGTTCTTTTTTATTGCTTGGAATTTACGCTAACTAGTCGAAGGGTCTCGACTTATTATTTTAAAGAAATATTTTTATTCTGAATCACTTCCTGTTGTTAATTCACTATCACTACTGTCTTCTCCTAGAGTAATGATAATGGGCTCGATAAGAACATCAACACCCGTGTCTGTGTCTCACATATTATCTTCTTCTTTCTGTGTATGTTTAATGCATGACTGCCAGTTGGAAGCAGTTATATTTTGTATGGTCTATATGTCTAATAATAATTTGATATCTTTTAATTTAAAGGGTGTGTTCTTTTGCGCTACCTCATTTTTTATTTGTGTCCATATCAGCTCAATGGGATTCAATTCACAATGATATGGTGGAGTTCTTAATAAGGTGATGCCATGCTCACGTGCCTTTTCGTCTACTGCAGATCTGATGTATGAACTCTTGTGTTCGCGCTCTATATCAAGTAATTGAACCTTTATCATCGATTCATCAAAATCTAGCGAAAATATCTGCTTTTCGAGATGCAGAAGTCCGTATTTTTTCCATATGACCGCTGTGATAAGGTGCATTGTCCATTATGATTACCGAACCAGGATCTACAAGAGTCAGTATAGACGAAAACCACTTTTCAAACACATCCGAATTCATATCCTCATGATAATCGCTCGTTTTGGTTGAGGTAAACACATTTAAACCACCTAGTAAAAAACCTTAATCACTTTGAATGTGCGTTATAATGAAACGTATTCCTTTGCTCGAAGGTGCTTTTAAGCCGGTTGAAAGTCCCTCAATGAAAGCCTATCGCACACTTTTAATATTCAAGTCTTGCCATACTTTGGATTTCGTATGACCCTCATTCAACCACGTTGCGTCCGTATAATAAATTTTTTTTACCAAGTCGTCTAAAATCACGAATTTTTTACAAATATTTTCTCCACTGCATCACTAATTCGTCTCTCTCATCAACAAACTTTTCCGATTTCTCTTCACATACCGAAAGTCCATTTCATGTAAAGTTCTTAGTAAAACTCTCATGGATATTTTATTTAAAGTATCATCTGCGTCTGCATTAACTTCTCGTTGAATAGCCTTTAACGTGGGCAGTTCGTTCCTAAAATAAAATCCATGAACATTTCTTCGGATTATACTTTTCGTACTATCGTCCAATACAATTTTTGCACTTCCTTTATGGATTGGTTTTTGGATAGGTTTTTTACCGCGACGTCTTCTATAAGCATATCTTGATATCTTCTACATTGCATGACGTTGCCAATTTTTTTTATAATGTTGTCAAATAATAGGAATATTATAACGTATACCTCCATAAATAAATGTTTAAAAAATGTTTGTCCTTCTAGGTGTTGAATTTTTTTGGCCATCAGTATATTGTGTGTCTGTATTTATTTTTCTCTTGTAGTTAAATGTTTACATTTGGTTTGTATTTTAGGTTTTACTCAGGAGGAAACTAAATTGAAAATGATGGAAACATTTTGTGAACATTCATCCCATAAAGAAGACTGTACGAATCTACACGCCAAAGGAAAAACTGTAAATAAAAATATAAAAGTTCAGACTAGACAGGGACCTTACAAATGTGAAATTTGTTTCAAACTATTTTCTAAAAAACATATTTTGAAAAGACATTTGAGACT